ATTCATGCAAAACTCCACGTAATCCCAAGGGGTTCACATACTTTTTCTTGCAACTGTATTTCCCTCATGAACATGCAAATTAGTGCATCATTTGTTAGACATGCATTTCTTTTGAATTTTTTGTTGCTATTCTGTCTCTCAGTGTTACAATACACCTACCATTCGATTTTTAGACTGATCATTTCTTTGTGAGTGGCAAACATGCAAAATCAGCAGGGGATCAAACACTTATTTCCTTCACTGTATTTTCAAAAGTAAAATTTTAGTAAAAAAATATACTTAAGTTAATTTTATAGCACACAAACGCAGTAAAGTATCCAATTTTTGATAACATATAAAAGATGAGGTTGCACCTAGTAAATAGATTCCCAACATGTCAAGCCTTAAAGTTCTGTTCACATGTAAAATGGCAACAAACTTCAGTACCCTATGTGATGATTTTTTTTGGTGACAGGTTCTCTTTAATGAGATACCAGGGGTCTTAAAGACCCCTGATGTCTCACCTGTACTCCAATGAATCTAATGCACTGTAGATTGTATTCCATTATGGCCATACTGGCTAGGAAAAGTGACACGAGGACCCAGAAGTGATGTTTTACAAGTTGCTTCCGAGTTAACAAGAGCCCGGGAAGACTGTGCACATGTGGAGGGGGGACAGCCTTTGCCGGGGTGTGAGGAAGCTATCAGATGGCTGCAGAGCCACCCAAAAGCTTCCATCTGAGAGCCGGCAGTCAACCTTTCAGATATTCACACTCCCAGCGGCCACAGCATGCTGGGAGCATGTGTAAAACCTTAAAGCATCAAAGTAGAGTTAAACGCAAAACCTTTTTTTTTAATCAGTTTGGATTGAGTAAGGGATGGTTATAAACCCTGTTTCTCATTGGGGAGATTTTTCTTCACTGTCTGTCCTATGGCCATAACAGAAAGTGAAAGGAAATCCCTCCGACTTGGGAAAATCCCTGGTTTTTACCAAGGTTACCAAAAATAGTGTCCCAAATGGAGAATTTCCTCTCTACTCCTGTTTTGAGGACAGACCAAAATGTGGTATTTTCTTTCACTTTCACTTTTGTTGATATTGGTAAGCAAGACAAATAGAGGGGGTGAATCTCCCTAACTGTGGCACAGACTGCAGTAACAACCTGACAGGTGTTCTAATTCCTCTCCGCCAAATGAATTTGGTTATAATTCAGATGTGCTTTTTAAGTGCAAGCAGTTTAAGTACCTAATTTCAGGTGGTATCAGATTCTTGTAGATTCTTTCAGTTCCTGTACAGTAGGGATGGAGGTTGAGAGGAACAGGCAGTACATGCAGCCAGTTTATTTTTGTACTGAAAAGAAGCATACTGATAGCAAGACCCAAGCAGAATAAGAGTGATATGCGCTCATCACTGTGCTGCTTCTCCTTTTACTACCCAAGCACAGACCTGGATGAGTCCAGGATGACTTGGATTTAGAAGATATTGGTTATGATGCTGGCCTTCACATTGATGACATTAGTAGCAGAAAAAGCAAAATACTGTATTTGCACCTAGTGCTGAAACAAATGTGAAGGAAAGAGTCTTAAGTGAATAAACCCAAAGTCCAAAAAATGTCCAAAGATATAAACATAAATGAACCAAAGTCCAGAAAATATTCCAATTTATAGTCCACCCTTGGTTTCAGATTATCTTTTTCCACCCAGTGACCTCTCACATAAACACTTGTGCAATTGTGTCTTAACACACCTTTTTAGATATGGCATTAACCAAATACATATACCTCTCATAAAATGATTGGCATAAATAATTTGTGGAAATCATGGGGGTCGCCCACCGTTCTTCCAACACACCAGCCAGTAAATCACCTCCTTCTATTGCTCCATCACCATGTATTTAAGAAAGAAGGAACTTACATAGTGTAATACTGCATACCCACTTTATTTGAATTGATAAAAACCTACTTACAATGGTATAAAGAAAAACTATGGTATAAATAATACATAGCACCCAGCTCTGCAATTACAGCTCTGCCATCCCCGACAGTGACAATGTGTAGGCAGAGTCACCGGCATCTCAGCCGGCCCTCCAACACATCACTTCGGAAGTGTCACTTGGGGATCAGTGGCTGACGTCACTTCCAGTTGCCATCTAGCCATTACGTGGCTACACCTCAGCTCTATTGGAACCTTAGAAACACTTTAATCGAAGTAAGCTGCTTCACTTTAAAAAGTCATTCTTGTGCTCTAAAATATTCTGGTGGAAGGCTTTTAGAATATTTTTGAAACCCACAAGATCAAATTACCATTTTAAACAAGATCTCCACAACACACGATGGATTAGATGGGTGTACTGTGTATATTTCTCCCAACTCCATTCCATAGTTCTTCTGTTTAAAACAAAAACTATCATTATAATAATCGAGTAGTCTGGTGTAGTTGTTATTGTACAATTTGTCTAAAAGCTATGTGGTGATTTTCACTACATTTAAACTTTCATGCTGCACTATATTCTGTACTTGCTACATTATATTGTCACAATCACTTGCTACACTATATTGTCACAAAATTTTCACAATCAGAAGGATCTCTACCTAAAAAAAATCCTTTACAATGTAAACATTCCACAGGATATGTTGTTCACAGAGTTGTGTGTTGGCACAGCTCTGACTAATATAAAAATATAGTTAACAGCCTACTTGTGCTGGTTGGAGCAGTTTAATACTGCATCCAGACAAACACGATAATAATAATTTTCTTGGTTGTAAAAGCCAGCACTCATAGATATTGCACTGAGATAAGAGCAGTAAAGCAAGATAAGTAACACTCTCCTGCACTACTAAACAGGAAACAGCATGTGTATGTAATAAGTAGGTGTTGCAGCCCAATCTATATCAGTTTTCAACAAAGTCACAGAATATATCATACTGATGACTTTTAAATCACATTCAATAATTGATTAGTTGATTTGCAATTGTTTTACTTCCTGTTTCTTAAAACATATGTGGGGGTTTGCAAAAAAAAAAGTCAGTGTTGTATTTATTTTTGTGAAAGCTCTCGTTTATCTTGGTCATGATTATTTTTTACAGGTACTTATATAGCACCATAAATTTACACAGCATGTTATTATTATTTTTATACAGGATTTATATAGCGTCAACAGTTTGCTCAGCGCTTTACAATATAAGGAGAGACAATACAGCAACAATACAGTTCAATACAAGAGGGTTAGGAAGGCCCTGCTCCTTGGAACTTACAATCTAAGAGGGAGGGGCTAGTGATACAAAAGGTAGTAACTGTTCGGGATGGACTGGTAGGAGGAGTAGAAGATTCCATTATTAGATGAGGGCAGGATGGGCTTCCCTGAAGAGATAGGTTTTCAGAGATCGCCTAAAAGTGAGCAGAGTAGGCGATAGTCTGATAAATTGGGGTAGAGGGTTCCAGAGATGGGGGAAGCTCTGGAGACAAGCATGGGAGGAGGAGACAAGGGAGCTAAAGATCAGGAGGTTGTGTGAGGATCGGAGAGTACAGTTTGGGTGTCAGAGGAGTCAGAGGAGGGGGCATGGGCTGGAGGAAATAGTAAAAGCTCAGTTTTGGAAAGATTGAGTTTGAGGAAGTGGAGTGACATCCATGCTGCTATGTCACTTAGTAGGTTAGTAATGCGAGAGGAGACTGAAGGGGTGAGAAGTAGAAAGATAGATTTGTGTGTCATCAGCATAGAGATGGTACTTAAAACCATGGGAGTTTATCAAGTGACCAAGGGAGGAGATGTAGATGGAGAAGAGTTGGGGTCCAAGGACAGAACCTTGAGGGACCCCTACAGAAAGAGGGGAGTGGAGAGGAGGAGCCAGAGTTATAGATAACGCTGAGGAGCACTAAGGTCTTTGAGTAGAAAAGAGAAGGGTTAAAGTTGTGAAGGTTTCTGCGGGTAATTGTTTGCTGCTCGGAGGGATAAGTGTTTGAAGATGAGGACACTGTAAAGGTGATGAGATTGTGATCAGAGAGAGGAAAGAGGGTGTTTGTGAGGTCATAGGGAGTGCAATGATGGGAGAAGACAAGGTCTAATGTATTCCCTTCAGAGTGAATGGAGGAATGTGTCCATTGTGTTAAGGCAAAAGATGAGGTTAAGTTGAAGAGTTGGGATGTAGCCGGGTTGTTCACATTAATGGGGATGTTAAAATTTCCAAGAATGATAGTGGGTAGTTCAGAGCAGAGAAAGTAGGGTAGCCAGGCAGAGAAATCATCAAGAAAGCGAGACATCGGTCCAGGAGGCTGATAGATCACTGCAATCCTCAGAGAAATGGGAGAAAACAGCCAAATGCAGTGAGTCTCGAAAAAAAGAGAAGGATAGAGAGGGAGTGTTATGGAGGACTTGAAAGGTGCTCAGTGTGGATAGAAGCAAACCAACTCCACCACCTTTCTGACCACTGGGTTTGGATGAGTGGGTCCAGCGAAAGCCTCCATAGGAAAGTGCTGTGGGAGAAGAAGAATCTGCTACTTGAAGCCAGGTTTCTGTAATTGCTAGTAGGTTAACCACTTGCCTACCAGGCACTTATACCCCTTATTTACCAGGCCAATTTTCAGCTTTCAGCGCTGCCGCACTTTGATTGACAATTGCGCGGTCATGCAACATTGTACCCATATGAAATTTTGATCATTTTTTTCTCACAAATAGAGCTTTCTTTTGGTGGTATTTAATCGCCACTGGGCACTTTACTTTTTGTGCTATAAATAAAAAATTGCAAAAAATTTGAAAAAAAAGGCAGCACTGATGGGCACTGATAGGCGGCACTGATGGGCACTGATAGGCAGCACTAAAGGGCACTGATAGGCAGTACTAATGAGGTGGCACAGATAGGCAGCACTGATAGACAGCACTAATGAGGTGTCACGGATAGGCGGCACTAATATGGAGCACTGATAGGCGGCACTGATAGGTGACACTGATGATGGGTACTGATAGACGGCACTGACTGGCATCACTGCTGGGCACTGACTGGCGGCACTGACTGGCAGCACTGGTGGGTGGCACTGGTGGGTGGGCACAGGTGGGTGGGCACAGGTGGGTGGCACTGCTGGGCACAGGTGGGTGGCACTTCTGGGCACAGCTGTGTGACACTGCAGAGTGGCACAGGTGGGTGCACTGCTGGGCACAGGTGGGTGCACTGCTGGGCACAGGTGGGTGATCTGCTGGGCACAGGTGGGCGGAGCTAGTGGGTGCACTGCTGGGCACAGGTGGGCGGAGCTTGCAGGTGGCACTGCTGGGCACCGATCATCAGGGCACTGATCATCAGTGCCCTGATGATCGGTGCCGATCCCCGCTCTGACAACTGCTGGTTCTCGGCAGTACTTTCCTCACGACCTGACAGCGTGAGGAAAGTGCAGCCGAGAACCGGCACTTGCATTTTCCTCTGATCAGCGTGTCATTGGACACCGCTGATCACGTGGTAAAAGGCCGCTGTGATTGGCCTTTTACCACATCACGTGATCAGCTGTGTCCGTAGGACACAGCGATTACGGAGATCGCCGGGTGCGCGCCCCCTGGGGCGCGCAGGAGAGCGCATTCTGGGAGGACGTCATATGACGTCCACCCAGAACTGGCCGGCCGCAGTGCAGCCGTCATTCGGCTATCTGCGGTCAGCAGGTAGTTAAGGGAGCGGGAGACAAAAAGGTCATGGACAGAGGTGAGCTTATTACAGACGGAGTGGGCATTCCAGAGAGCACATGAAAAAGGGAGGGTGGTTTTTAGGAGCATGGTGATTGATATTAAATTAAGCGGATTGCGGCTGTTCCCGGAGGAAAGGAAAGAAGATGCCTGGTGTGGGGGATGTTATATATTCATTATGCATTCACATCTGCCCCTGCCCTCAAAGAGCTTACAATCTACAGTCCCTAACTCACATTCATACATATACATATTAGAACCAATTTAGACAGGATCCAATTAACCTATCAGCATGTCTTTGGAGTGTGGGAGGAAACCCAAGCAGGCACAGGGAGAACATGCAAACTCCAGGCAGGGAGTGCTGTGGTTGGGATTCGAACCAACGCTCCTTGTGCTGCTAGGCAGAAGTGCTAACCACTTAGTCATTGTGCTGCCCATAGACTTGTTCCATATTGTGAAACTTGCTTTGTTGCTCAATGAGGCATCTCCTCAGTTCTAATGAATGTGATGAACATACCCCACATGGGTAACTCAGTCATCTACATTCAGTCACCATGAATGAAATCCCATGACATATATGATGACTGAATAAGGATTCATTCAGATAGGAATTCAGCCCATCCTCCATGCAGATACATGCTCCACCATGGAGCTACGTGCAGGCAGCCACTAAAAGTGGATGCACATGCACTGGCTGCATGAACACAGTTGCCTGCCAAAGTTTTACATGTGGGCAAGAGTGGGTCCTAGGATCCAAACGTAGAGTTCAGATCTGTACACCTTCTGCCTGCTTGTTCACGGTGAATGCACATGTATCTACCGGCAGCTCTAATCAGAGGATGGGCTTAATTGCCTGTCTGAATGAGCCTTTAAGGTGACTAAGCCACTAAGGGCTAAGTCCATGAGGCTATAAATGGTAGGGTATAAGTATGACCCTAATGAACAGCAGAAAAACCCCAAAACTTCAACATTACAGAACAAGTCCAGCCAAATAGAACTAAGACTTCCTTCACATGTGGTGTTTGTAAAAAGACCTCTAGAGAGTAATCTGTGGTGGACACTGCCACCTTCCTGCTTTTTTCTGATCCTGAAAGAGATTTTGCATTGCAATTGTAAAGTGGTTGGCACATAGCTACAGATCAGCATCACTGGCTTCAATGGGTGCCATTGCCAAGCAGTACCACCTCCCAAACATGACATTATGAGTTACATTTGCTGCACCACAAAACATTATGGCAGAGAGAAAACAGACCTGAGCAGCCACCATATTGTTTTGTATGTGGGCAGTTGGGGAGTCGTAAAAATGTTAATTAACCACAGGTTTTTACTGCCCCTTTGCCAATATTGTGAACTTAGCCTTTCCACTAAAAGCTATTGTACATATTTGTTTTTTTATGACTGTAAGAAATTAGTGCTTTTTTTTTTTTTACAGCTATGAGTCGGAATGAATAGTGAATGATTCCACTAAAATTCAATTGTACTTGAAAAGTAACAATAATACACAGATCAGACATAACAGTATGACCACCCACCATAACCCCTTGAGGCATGCAATACACTAGATCTCCAAAGGACTACTGTGGTATCTGGTACCAAGTCATCAGTAGCAGATCATTTAGGTCCAGTACAGTGCAAGATGACATATCCCACAAATGCTCAAATGGATTGAGATCTGGATAATTTGAAGGCCAAATCAACACTTCAAACTTGTGTTCCTCAAACCATTTTTGAATTAATCAGACCAGGACATCTGCTTCCATTGCTCCGTGGTCCAGTTCTGATGACCTTGTGCTCATTGAAGGTGCATTTGTCTGTGAACGAAGGTCAGCATGGGCACCCTGATTGGTCTGTGGCTACATGTCCCCATATACAACAAACTTTGATGAATTTTTTGTTCTGACACCTCTCTCTTAGAACCAACATTAACCTTTTAAGTAGCTCTTCTATTGGATTGGATTACAAGAGCCAGCCATTGCTCCCCATGTGCATCAATGATCCTTGGTCACCCATGACCCTGTCGTTAGTTCCTTGGTTTTCTTTTATTGGACCACTTTTTGTGGGTCCTGACCAATGCAAACCAGAAATGTCCCACAAGAGCTTCAGTTTTGGAATTGCTCTGACCCAGTCGACTAGCCATTACAATTTGTTTAAAATCACTTAAATCTTTATGCATGCACATTTTTTCTACTTTCAACACATCAACTTCAGGAACAACATGTTCACGTGCTGCCTAAAATATCCTACACACATTCATGTGTCATTGTAACAAGATAATCAATGTTATTAACCTGACAGTGGTCATATTGTTATGGCTGATTGGTGTAGTAAATTATGGTTTTAACAAAGTCTGATGATTTATTAACATAAAATTTAACATATTCAAATAATTTACAAACAAACTATCGATCTCCATTCTAGGTGAATAGAAGTCCTCTCAGGCTCATCCTTCTATCATTCTGATTCAGGAAAATCTCACAACCACAAGTTGATAGACTTTGGTATAATGGCTCTGGAAGTCATTAGTTTGTGGAGTCAATAACAGCTCACAAAAGTAGAATGAAATGGGTTTGTGAAAATCGGAATGTAGAAATGGATTTGCAACTCATTAACGAAATCCAGGTTCATTTAACAAATACTTCTTCTATGATGAGGTATATTCACTTGGAGGTAAGAGGCTTTTTAATCTATTGCCAACAGCAGCTCAGGGACCACTGTATCTTAACTCTCCATAGAGAAAACTACTAATAGGTTTCCAATGGATGCAAACACCAGGAAACCTGCCTTACACAGATATACTATAAATACTGCAAAGTATGAGTGATCTGCTATAACTATGATTTAGAAAATAATGAAGTGCTCCACTCTATGAAACATGCAATATTTAAAAAAAATAAACACAAATACTGAACCAGTAAGCCCCCCCAAAAATAGTGAAAATATACCTGAGCATGTGTATAACATAAAAAAGTGATACACATACAGTGTGTATAAATATATATATATATATGAAAAATCCCACAATGTGTACTTATAACTTCTCCGTGATTTTCAGTTTTCATATACAATGTGTGACAAATATCACCAACCTGACGACCTGAAACTCCGTGGTGAGTACACCCATGAACTTATTGTTGTAGTGGTTGGTCACACTTGTAGGGATATTGTAATTATATATATATATATATATATATATATATATATATATATATATATATATATATATATATATATACTTTATGTGGTGTATTCTCACGTTAGTTATTGATCAAGCCAGAATATGACTGAGCTAAATTAATTTTATAAAACAAAAGCAGCCAAGAACTCTTTGCTATGTTAATTTTATGCAAGATAACCTGGGCACTTGGGCCAACTTGTTACATTTCAAAGGAGGTAATTTGCAAATTTTCAAGGGTGATAAAATGCAGATAGCTAATGATTGCATGAATATTCTAAGTAACCTGTCATCTGCCTTGTCTGTACCTCCGCTTCTTCCTGTCATTAATGTGGAAGCACAGGTATAGATAACTCTCATTATTGCATGCATGGAAGCTATCTAGGTGCATATTATAGATCGGACATACTGTATGCTGAACGGTGTAGTATCTCCATGCTTGATATGGAGTATCTGAAATAGGACTTTGAGGGCTGTTGTTCATTGTAATATTTACAAATATTCAGCTGGATTTCTGTCATCTGTAACAAATATCTTTATCCGAATAAATACATCTCTCTGGAAAAGAACCGTTGGACTAATTGCTTCGGGGAAAAGTACATTTATAAATATACACTGGTCATTCATCCGTCCTCCTTCATTGATAAAAGACAACATATTTGTCTTATGAACTGTTTCTGTATGGACCTCATAAATTGGAAGACAACAACACATTGTATATGAAGACTGAAAATCACTGAGAAGTCATCCATACTAATCATGGGATTTTTGCTTGACTAGGAATTCACATACTGTATATATATATATATATATATATATATATATATATATATATATATTTATTTCCTGGACCTCCCCATGTCAGCTTACATTGGTCAGCTCCACCCTCCCTTACCCCTCCAGGACAACCTCTTTCTTAGCCCATAAGTGTGGCTGTCTCAGCATTCTTTTTTTGTCCTCGCTCCGGACACCTTGAAAAAAAAAAAAAAAATCTCTCTCCTATGGCCTTCCCAGGCTCAGCCTCTCCTGGGTAAGAAGACCCCTCGTTTGGGTTGTAAACCTCCCTGTGCAGTGGATTCCCTTGGTGCGGGGATTGTTATGTATGCAGTATAAATTACTGCTCATTGATTATGCCACCCTACAGCAGTTATTTCCATGGGGCAGTATAAAGTAGTGCTGGGAAAGCAGGGTGACTTATCTGTGCACAGATTGGCTGGCACTTGTAGTCCCATATCTCAGTACATCTGTGGGCTGGCTGGCAGTTCTAGTCCCATATCTCAGTATGACTGTGGGCTGGCTGGCACTTGTAGTCCCATAGCCCAGCATGACAGTAGGCTGACTGGCACTTGTAGTCCCATATCTCAGCAGGTCTGTGGGCTGGCTGGCACATGTAGTCCCACATTTCAGCACATCTTGGGTATACCAGGGACTGGTAATCCCCACATCACAGCGGCGGCATTTGTTCTGGCTACAGAGCAGGCTAGGTGGTACATGTGCAAAGGCGGCGGGCACTGAGCTTCCTGGGTTGCCATGGAGCTGCCGGGACACAGGAAGCTACTGCCATATCT